CAAGTCTACTTTTTAAATCTATCTAGCATTACTCATTTTTTGTTGAATTAAGCTTGAGTTATTGTCGTTGTTTGTTGAGGATTAGATCTGTAACTTGGTATGTCACTGCAGAGGAAAAAGAATAAACTTGAGATAGAGAAGAAACTGAAATGAAAGTCATGACTAATTAGAGCAACTCGCATGAGAATATTTTTTAAGTCTAATTTTTTTTTACTTTAAGAGAGAATTGTATTTATTCTCTAAAATATAAAATTATCTTAAATCTTTTATATTTCATATTTGTTAATTTATTTTATTACAAAACATAGTATTCAACAAAACTCAAAACATAACCTAGAAAGAGACAAAACAATTTTAGAAAAGAGATTGCTCAACTTATAGGCATAACTGGTCTATAACCTAGTCTAGTTTCAAGTGAGACTAGGGTGCTTGTTTTTCACGTTTAATCAAGGCATGGTCCAACCCAACCTAATCAAGATTTAACCTAAATTGGTTGGGTCAGTTGCGAGACACCGTGGTCCAACCCAAATTTTATCTAAAAATCTGATCAAAATTTAACCTAATATAAATCAAGAGACACTATGGCTCAACCCAAACCTCATTTAAATTTAATGTAAAATAATTAGAGAGGAAGGTTCATCAATGGGCCAAAGTTACTTTAAATTTAAATGAGGTTTGACAGAGTAGTTAAAAATTAATTGCAATTTGTTAAAATAACTTCAATTAAGTTAATCAAATTAAATTCGATCCAATATGCGATCAAATATCTAATGTTTGACGGATTCAAATATAAATCATAACAATAAAATCACTTGAGTCTGAATTAAATTTTTTTAATTTTGTCTATTATCGTTATAAATTTTTTATTAATATTATAATTTTATTTATTAAAGTCGTAAAGTTTTCATTGATATTATAAATTTTTTTTAATTCACAGAGTGATAACTTTTCGATATAGTACCCTGATCTGGTCCCGTACCCTAGTCTGGTCCCAAAGTTTTTGATGGCTGCTCCCTATGTACGCGAATGTTTCTGGTCGAGAATGGGTGGTCCGCTGTGGGGGCCTGTGACTGGGGGTGCGGGAGGCTATTTGAAGCAACAGACAATGGCTATCTAAATAACGATTCATTTTTGCAAAATATATTTAAATATATTTATATATATATATACATGTATTTTTTATTACTATTATAAAGTGTTTAAGTTTGTATCAACTATTCTCTCAAATTTAGCAGTTGACCACTGTGATTTAAATTAATCTAGAACATGTCCCTAAAGAAATAAGAATGACTAACCTTTATGGAATGTGAGAAAAGATTAAATCTAAGACCTCGAGTTACTAAAAAACAGACTCAACTAATGTATCTTTTTATGTGTGTTCATAGTTTTTTTTTTTTTTTAAACTATGTGGAATTAACATATCTCGTTTTAATGTTAATGTCAAGTAGTGTACATCACCAATAAAATATTTTACATTCCTAATGAATAAATATCTTTTATCACTTTGTCAGAATTTTTAAAAAAAGTTAACTTTTGTGTCCCATAAATTAATTTTATGATAAATTTTCATTAAGTATGTACACCACGTCCGTCACCCATGAACACATTCAAAATTTTCTCTCAAACTCTTATTTGTTAGAGCATTTCCAATCCTTACCCTCTTTTAAACTTCTAAAAACCTTCTCCACATATCTATATTAAATTAAGGAAGATTTTTTTTTTTCTTAAATCCATACTTAAATTTTTAATGGTGGGATTTTACTATTCTTTAAAGATCAAATTATCATATTTTATCCTCTTTTAAATTTGTATTTATCCTCATTTGAATTTTTCTTTCTTTAAATTTGAATTTCTCAATTGAAAAGTCTATACTAAATTAAGTTTTTTGCCCTATTTTTTACTCAAATTTAAATAAAGGTATAGGTCTCCATTAGAGATGGTTGTACTAGTTTGATATAGAACTTATCTTTATACGATTATACTATCACCACATACTTTGGAAAAACGTTTAACATGAATGGGAAATTAAAGAACATAGACATGCAAGTACCCCTTTTTTTTGTTCGTACATTCCATGTGAATGGAATCATATGAAAATTATTGTGCTATAGATCGATCATCAAATTATCTGCCTTGTGTGGTAGGATGAATTTCAAAATTATTTATGTAAGGCAAAAAGTGAGATTACCTCCCACACTGGAATATGATTTGGTATTTCTGGTAAAGAGTACTTTTGAACTTGAACTCTCAGTCTTTTCTTCCTGTAAAACGAGCAAACTATTTAAGATTGAAGTGTTTCGATCGAAGGTACTCTAATGTTTAAGTCAGTAATGAAACTGATTGAATTGCTAAAAACAAAATGGAGAGTTTAGCTTACCTTTCATTTTGACTCCTTGTGCTTTTTATAGATCCCTGTTTAATTAAGATTTCCATGATTTTTGATTCAATGTGGCACACCCTCCTTCAATTTGGCGAATCTGTTTAAAAAAATGGTTAAAATCTCTGGCAATTCTCTTGACCTATAATTAAGCCCATTAGCTTATCCTGGATACCTAAATTATAGGCAAATCTTTTGCTCTTTGTTTGACTATTTGAAATAGCTCAATTGTGATGAGGACCAACCTCTTTCCATTCTCACCGAACTTATCAAACAGCTCGGCTTTGATCTATTGAACGAGTGACTGATGTCTTCATCACATGTTTTGTCTTGTTATTCTCCCGTGAGCTTATTTAATACCATGACACGTGCAGTAAAGGGAACCACCCCCTTCAATTTAGGATTCCATGGAAGAGATTTTAAGTTTGCCCATATAAAATTTATTTTCATATGTACACGCAGCATAACCAGTGATCAATTTACGAGGACAAAATCCAAGTGTTGGTAACGTATACGAAAGTAAACATCAATTACCCTTTTATCTTTTACGAGTAAATATTCAAAGTAATGGTTATATCACCTCACTATTGTCATATGAACCGATTAATAATAAATAAAATAAGTGTACCCAATTAATTCGTGCATTGTACTTTTGAATGTGAAAATTATTAGTGATTTAGCCGACACACTGGACGTACATAATTGTCCATAATTAGTCGGTTACAACACCTCATAGTGATGACCATCTTCATTATTTTTCCTTGAAAAATACAACTTTATTTTCTCCGCTAAATGTTCTGAAACATCTGAGATTTAGGATTAAGGTTTGGTAGAGAGTTTCTCTCTCTCTCTCTCCAATAATGCAAATCCCTCCTTTCATGTTTTGTGTTCGTCTTATTCTTGAATGTTTTGTAAAACGTGACAGTTTTTTGTAGTGATTGATTTAGATTTATTTTTGAAATCATAACATTTTAAAGAAAATTTTACAAATAAAAGAAAACAATTCAATTGATATAAAAGACTAGGTATGCATGGCTTTTAAAATTATTGACAACTCCAACAAAAAAAAAAAAAAGAAGAAGAATAAATCTTAAATAAAAAATATCAATATTAAAAATAAAAGCCTCTTTTTAGTTTTCTTTTTAGCCACAAATCATATTGGGTCTTGAAATACGACACCGAAAAATATTATTATTTCAGTATCATAATTAGACCCGATTAAATATAATAAATTTTTAAAATACCTGAGAATGGATAGAATATTCAATACAACAGTGACATCATATCATTATTATCACGTAATATCAGAATTCAATTAAAAAATGACAAAATAGATAATGTAAACCTTATTAATTCTATAATTTGATGATTGAATGTGGTGGTTATTAGTATTTATAAAAATAGATAAGTTGACTTTACCCATTTATAATTTTGTAATTAAAAAGTGATACTACATGACGATAATAATAATAACGTAGTATTACTGTTGTCGCAAAGACTGTACAACTAAAGCCTTCACAAGGAGTACCTAGAATTTTATTAGGTCAATCTCTGTATCTCTCTTCTTCGACCGGCAAAGAAAAAAAAACACATGATATTAGTGTTTATTTGAATTCTTTTCAACAGAATACGCCTCCAAAAAATTTCAGCCCACATGTTCTAACCGACAACATGCCTCAAATCTGTTTACAATAATGCCTGCCAAGTTATATATGAACACCGCCAGAGGCTGTCGGACTTTGGAACGATCAATTTTATGTAAAACTTATTTCATTTGATAAATAATATTGGCCTAAAAATCTGATCTGTAAGTTAAATTTAACAAGGTGTCGAGTGATATAATTCTCTTAAAATTTTTTAGTAAAAATGCTAATAATTGCAAGTAGAATAATGCTATTGAATGGTGTCAGCTCCCTTATCAATAATATAATGTTATTATTTACCCAAAAAAATAATATAATATTGCTTAAATTTAATTTATTAATCTAATTTATTGACTTAATCAATCACATATTAAATTGATAGTAAATCCAAATATTAGGTGAGACTTAGTACTATTGAAATAATTGTGTTGAATAAAGTCAACAAAATTATTCAGCAAAATAGGTCTAAATAATATTAATGTTATTTTACAATTATCAACTAGCATATAATCATTAAATTAGTATTTTTGGTAAGATTTTTAAGTTTATTTACTATTTTCCGTTTAAGAACAATATTTTTTGAATTTAAATATCAAATCTAGTAATGTGTCAAGTAATATACGTACTTAGAATGAAGAACACCGACAATTATAACTACAATAACTGACGCAGAGGAATAGAGAGCACAAAGAATATTATTTTTCTTTATGTATCGAGCCAAAAGAAAAACTATGAATCCGCATAGATAATAGACAAAACTCTAAACTATGATTTTATTGAATGAATAATCCGTAGTACAAATGAGTAGTATAAATAGGAATGATCTATTACAATTATAAAGAAGTTTTTAAAATTTTTAATTAAAGTTTTCGGTTAGAAGGTTGAAGATTTATTTGGTTATTGATTTCATGAATTTAAAATATGATTTATTTGGTTATTGATATCATGATCCTGAAATTGACCAAAGAATTGGGCAACGGATGGAAGGTAGTAAGAAGGACAAAGAAGACTTGCTTGATGTTCTGATTACTCTCAAGGACATAGATGGTAGACCAGTGTTGTCAGCTGAAGAGATCAAAGCCCAGATTGTTGTAAGTCTCTCTCTCTCTCATACAAACACACACTCTCACATGAGAGTAGTAATGTTAAACATGGCATTGGAAATTAACTATGAGCACTTAATACTGCATATTCTTTCAGCACCAGTTAATGGGGATGATACTGTGGATGAGGTAAATATTCAAATTCAAGCGGTCCTAATAAATAAAAGTGAGATACGAAAAATGTCATTATTATAGTGTTACCTCGTTTGATTCATATTTTTTTCATATTTTTTATTTTCAATCTAGCATTGATCTAATACTTTATGGTCAAAAAAGAGTACTGTTATGCCGCTTTTGCACTGGTGCAATCTGTTGCGTGTGGAAAGTAAATTAGATCACCAAAAAAAACACAAAATCAAATAAAATGGGGACAAAAATCTGTTACAGCACCACACTAACTTTACTAAAGAAACACCTCTATATTTCATTAAAAATCATCACAATATCAAGCAATACAAAGAGAGAAAGACTATTCTGATTTTTTAGCAAGAAAAACACAAAGTAGGCTATCAAAAAAAAAAAAAAACTCACAAATGGAGCTTCTGCTCAGGAGATACTTGCTGCGTTTCTGGACAACAACCCCTTGTTTTCCTATCTGATTTTTCTTCCAACACCTCTCTTTTCTTCTGTGTTTTTTTTTGGACAAAACCATCTCTATTTTGGACACCAATTCTTCGCCTTTTATATTCTGTTTTTCATGCTGTAAACCGACTTCAGTGAACAGGTGGACAGCCTTCGTCAGTTTGGCTTTCCATGTTGCTGTGCACGAACAATTCTTCCTCATGAATCTGGACTCTTCTAATGGCTGCCCCGTCAAATGCACAAAAGACCCTAAACATGCTTAAATATCATCTAATAACATAATTTTTCAATATTACATCATAAGCCCACAAATAAAGTACAAAAACTACCCTTTAAAAAATTGGATTTATAAAATTAACACAATCTCGTTAAAGAGCCATGGTTGCAGTAAATACTTATAGGAAATCTAAAAAATTAATTGGTGTTCACAGGAACTAATGTTAGCAACAGTGGACAATCCATCAAATGCCGTCGAATGGATACTTGCAGAGATGATAAATCAGCCCCAGACCTTCGAAAAAGCCATAAAAGAACTAGACAGAGTGGTTGGAAAAGAGAGACTAGTCCAAGAGTCCGATTTGCCACACCTCAATTACGTGAAAGCATGCGCCAGAGAAGCCTTTCGACTTCATCCCATAGAACCCTTCAGTGTTCCACATGTGTCCGTGGCCGACACCACCGTCGCCGGTTACTTCATCCCTAAGGGTAGTCACGTGCTGCTGAGCCGACTGGGATTTGGCCGCAATCCGAGAGTTTAGGAGGAGCCACTCAAGTTCAAGCCGGAGCGCCACCTGAAGGACGGTGGCTCGGAGGTGGGGCTTTCTGACCCAGAGCCGAAAATGTTTTCATTTAGCACAGGAAGGCGTGGGTGTGCGGGGGTGACATTGGGTTCTACCATGACTGCCATGCTTTTGGCTAGGCTTCTTCAAGGGTTCACTTGGAAGTTGCCACCCTCTGTGTCAAGTACTGACCTCAGACTCAGAGAGTCAGAGGTTGATCTCTCTCTAGCTCACCCACTGCTAGCTCTTGCACAGCCACTCTTGGGCGAAAATTTGTATCTTGCAGCTTGAATTTTCTTATATACTCTCCCCGTCTCTAAATATACGTCGGTTTACCTAACTTTTTTTGTTTCACAATATTTATCATTTTATAAAATCCAATCATAATTAATATTTTTACTTCCAAATTTACATTTATCTCTATTTTCCAATAAATACTTAATAGATTAAGTGTAGGCTAAGCATCTTTCATATTTTCTTTCTTTTTGATATGTATTGAATAAGGGTATTTTAATCTTTTTCAATTATTTTTTACTCATACTAGAGCTATTTAATAGTTTCTTTAATCCCTGTGTAAAACCTTAAACGATAGATATTTAGGAATAGAAGGATACAAATAAGTTTGTAATAGTACGCAGAGTTATCTACATAAATGAATAAGGCTATGGTATGCACTAAAAATTATTTCAGTACCATATCGAATCTGATTTGCAGTTGTAACTTTCAGTCCAATGTATTTGTACTCGTTGTTTATAAAAGTAATTAAGTAAAATTAATTTTTAGTACGATAGTTTGATATATGCATGTTATAAATATGAGTTTTTTTAGTGATATTATTTGGTGACTTTATCATTCTCTATTATTAGATTGATAATGGACTTACTATCAATTCAATGACTATAATTCATTGTGTTACTAAATAAAATTATTAAATTAGGTATAAATAATATTTTTTTATAAATATAAAATTAGTTTGGTAGTTAATGAGATATAGAGAGACGAAGTAACACGTCAGAATATAAGAAGAAGAATGGTTTGCTCATTTTGCCAGCGCAGGCAATAGGAATGCTACGTTGATCGAATTTTAGAATTAAATTTATAATTTAAATAACATGATAGCTAACATGAGTTTTTTTATTTGGTGTCATGTCATTTGGACCCCAATAAAGACTCCAAATAATATACTGTCATGTCATTTAAATTATAAATTTAATCTCAAAACTTGATCAACATAGCATTACTGGTGCATGCAATGATAATTAAAGAGAAACTAGGCGTTTGGAGTCCACTTTTAAAATGTCTATAATACCTTTTATCTCTTTTTAAGTGACTACGTGTAACTCTTTTTTTAATTTTATTTGCATATTTTATTTATAAAATATTAATATTATAATTTCAATGGTAGTTTAAGTAATAATAAAGATGAGTTATAAATTGAGACATCCTCATAAATACTCTAATCTCAACATGAATGATCTGTTACTGGTTGTCCAGACTTGCGCCAACTATCTCTCGAGCTTAACGACTGACAACCGTACCTTGAGTTGGTCTTAGGGTCAGCCAACAGTATGAAAAAAAAAAAGCATGGGTTTTAAGCCCCATAATTTTAGGTACATCACTAGTCCAAAAAAAAATTAAATTCATTAAATTTTAAGCCCTACAAAAAAGCCCCAAAAAATTAAATTAAATCAAAATTTTTATTGCAATAATTTTGGCCTATTATCTAATCTATAACATTAAAAACTTAAAAATTAAAAAAATACTCAAAAGTCAACTTATATTTACTCTCACCCACTATCTCTCTCTCCAATAAAAAAAATTTTAAAAAAAAAGTTAAATTAAATACTTTCTCTCTCTCTATGTGATAAAAAACAAAAATAAAAGTTGAAATCTCTTTCTCAACAACATTAACACTTTTTTTTTTGTCTCCCTCTCACATAAAAAATTTAAAATAAATTAAATTTTTTTTAAAAATAATACAAAAAATAAAAAAAAAACATACATTTAATGCTTCTGTTTTAGGCCTTAAATTGGTTTGAGCCACCCCTGGTTGGTCTAGAACATGTCTCCAAAAGAATAAAAGTTGTTAACCCTTAGAGAGTTTGAAAAATGAGTGAATTTGAGACCTATGGATTACCAAAAGACAAACCCAATTATTGGAGCACCCATAAAAATTAAATGAAGGGCACTATTGAAGACCCTCTAAATACTTCATTCACAGCAACCCAACTACTTGATGAACATCTTGATCCAGCTAAGCCAACACCAATCATCAAGACTTTTTTTTTTTTTGTTGACATTATTATAGGGAGGAGGACGATGAGATTTAAACATACAATGTTAAAATTTAACAGTAAGACGGTGAATGTTAGGCGGACCGTTAACCTCGATTATCAAGACTGCATTTATGCATGCTAGGCTTAGCCATGGAGCCAACAACAGGGTATCCATCATCTCACCAAACAACATATAAAGGCCGTGCTCGTGGTAAGTTATCTCTATTTAACTCTCAGGCTAGGGCTGTCCATGGCCCGGAGGGTCCAGGTCAGCCGGGCCCAAGTTTGCGCTATAAAACTGACTGGCCACGTACAGGTAAGACACCTGCCCCATAGTCCATCTGTCGCTCAATTATTTAGGATAAATTACAATCATGTTTCCTTACATTTAATTTTATTACACAAACACCCCATCATGTTTCAAAAATTATATTGAGACCCTTGACATTTAAACGCGTGCACTGTCGCACCCCTTCCATATAATAGACATCCAAACAAGTACAAAAAGAAGATGACATCATCAACAAAATTTTAAAAAAAATACCCAACATACCCTTCTACCAAGTGGAAGACTATATTAATCTATATAATAAAATAAAAGTGTGTTTGAATTTTATTTCAATTATAATTTTTTCCTCAAAATCATCATCAATCACTTACCTCACTCATCGTCCCTTTGTCAAACTCAAACGTCAAATCACATCACTCATTTCAATCACATATTTAATTATTTATATATTTCCTCCCTCAAAATATTACCACTCATTTATATCATATTTTTAATTATTTAATATTTAATTAATTTGTAGTTAATATATTTTTAAAAAATTTAATATAGTGGAATCAATTTTTTGAACACTCAAATTTTATATTTTATCGTGCCTTCAGGCACGAATTATGACTAATTCACTAATAAAAGGCGAAAAGATAAGAATATCTTCTCACCTATCGATATTCAAATAATTAGCTAGAATTATATGAATCATGATTTTGAAATTCTTAAAATTTTATTATTTGATTTCTAATAATCTACAAATCACCAAATTCAATAAGTTGCTAATTAAAATGTAATTATTATTTAATTCCAAATAATCTATAGATTACCAATGTCATTAACCACTCAAGTCATTAATTGTTTATCAACTAATTATTCAATTTCAATTAATTACTAATAGATTTACAAAAAAAATGGTCAAAATTAGTCAAACACCACCAAACCCCCTTTTTCTGGAATATTTCATCTACAATTTATCAATGTCATTATCCACTCAAGTTGGCCAAAAAGAAAAAATTCATCCACTCAAATCATTAATTACTTAATCAACTACTCATTCAATTACACTGCAACAAGCCCACTGCAACCATTATAATGAACCCATTGAAACGCAAGCCTCCGCCATCCACTGCAACGCATGCCACCACCACTGCACTGACACCACTGTGCACAAACCCCATCCGTCACCATCTTCACAGACATGAAGGATAAACTATTCTCCACCTCTGGCTCCAGAAACGGCATCACCACAACATTTTCCTCCATACCCTCTTCAATGTTCATCTTGTCTTTAACTTCCATTGAAACCTCATCAATTTTCACCGATACCTCGGCGATTTCAGATTGATTCTTCGCTTTGGGCATAAGATATATATATATATATAGAGAGAGAGAGAGAGAGAGAGAGAGACCTTGGGGTGGCAAAGATGACAGCGAAGATTAGGATTAGAGATAAGACTTGGGGTTTGGATTTGAATTTGTGTTAAAAGAGGGGGAAAGTAGTCTTTTTTTATCAAAACAGTTTAAGTACATCTAACTACTGGGGTTTCAGTGTAATTTTTGAAATGTGAGAGGGTATTCATGTAATAAAACTAAATATCAGGGGATGTTAGTGTAATTTACTCAAATATTTATGATGGGGTGGATTTTTTAACGGGTCTGGTGTGCCTATGTTTTGGGCTGAGAGATTGCGGGTTAAAATCTAAAAACAGTCGTTCTAAATGAAAAATGCTGGAAGTTGAATTGGGAGGGCTAGGGTCGTACCAGTTCACCCAATCCAACATCCCCATTGAATGGGTCACCAAATTTGTTATAACCTCTCATTGTATGAAATCTAGCTTTTAACAATTGTCAAGAAGAAACCCCTCTACTCTACCTTATGCCCATCAAATACAACTGCCAAGACTAAAAGATTACATAGGGCCAGTAAGATCCTTTCTTTTCTCCCCCCCCCCCCCCCCTTTTTCTCTTTCTTACTAGTTGGTATGTGTGTGCATCATGTATATAATGTAACCATAAAAAAAACAACTATAATGTAAACATACAAACATTGCTTGGTCAAATATATAAAACAATCATTTCTGTTTTCACGTGAGTAAAGAGAAAGAAACTAATTGAGAGTGTCGAAGAAATTTCGGGAAATGTATATAGTGTACCCAAAGTTAGGGAAATCTAGTAGGGATAGTAGCTGAAATTTTTACAGACAGAAACTGAGTGCACTCCCTAACTGTGAGGATGTAAATCATCAACCATGTGGTATGTTTATAGATAGATATGCTCACATAAAAAAAATAAGAATACACATGTAATCAAACGAAAGAAAGACAAAACTCTTACAGTTTAGTTGGTCTCAGATGATCACCCTTCATCAACCTTGTCTTGCTGCTCGCTGGCAACAGCTGCTCGCCGGACATCATCAGGTGGGCGGCCTTCACTCTCACCACCAGCTGTTGAGACTAAACGGGAGACGAAATTTCCAAGCCCATTCCGCTGCAAATACATCTCCAATTGATGACTCGGGGAATGAACAAGGCTTGTCATGCTAAGTCCAGCTGGTTCTGCTAACATGTCTTCATCTCGGTTGGGATGGGAATTCAAGTCTAATTGTCCCTTGCTGGTTTCAGCAACCTCCATTTGGACTCCACTCGGGCTTCTTTCATTTTCGGAATGATTCATATGCAGCAATGCAAGTCCAGATGCAACATCCGTTTCTGACTCGTCCTTAGGGTGATTCTGGTCCTTTCCCTGGGCAACTTCTGCTTCGCGTTCTGATTGCCGTTTCTTCTTGCGCAGCATGAGGGTTTTAAAGCGGCGCTTCACAGTCTTGCACACATTGCATATACAAGTGGATTGTGCCTGCCCTTTCCGCTTGGGGGCTGAATGCACACGATGCAAGTGCAGCCAGGACGATGCCGGGGATGTTTGGTAGTGGCTCCAACTGAATGCTCACCTTGGTCACCAACATTGTCTCCAAGAACTGCTGCAGTGGCCAATGCGTCTAAGCCAGAAGGCTCGTATTCTTGGGCTACCTTATTTCCTGTGGTTCTTCGCTTCTTAGAATCTGGGGAAAAATTGAGAAGTTAGAGAACGACCACCAAGTTTTTTGAATCTCTTGGGGAAGAAAGTTGGCCAAGAAAAACGACAAGCTTCATGGAACAAAGAAATCGATGGGTGAGTGTAACAGAGAGATGAGCAACTTTTGTGCTGATGAGACAACTTTGATATCTGGTCTACTGGTCTGACACGCAGCTATGACATTTTGAAAATTCAGCCAATTTTGACGTCAACTTGCCTTGGAACTGGATCATACATCTATGAAAAAGCTAGTTAATTAGATTCTCAAACTTAAATTATCGTCTCACCACTTTTCTAAAACATGCATAAACAAATGCCCAAAGAATACGTTTAAAACGACACATGGGCAATGTTCATGGGATGTAAATTGGGTGTGGATATAGTATATGTGAGTGAGACACACCTAGGATAGAACATTTATATAACACATCAAGAAACAAAGAAGAAAATAATTCTTCTTCAACATAAAATTAGGAAATTCTTTCCAAATTTTTGCTTGTGCAACATGTATTTGACAAAAGAAAAATTAAATGTCAGTGAATTGTCAATGAACAACAACAGGATGCAGACACTTCATTTCCCCTGAAAATATGGAAGAAAATAACTGTGCAAATCCAGCTATTTTACCAGATGTCTTGTAGTGTAGAACTGGAATCAAATTATCACCTAAACACCTATTCACAAAACTGATGTCCTTGATCCTATTTAACATTGTAGGTATGCATTAAGCATCAATAATGCAGCCAGCATGCTTTCAGATCCGTTAATAGATGCACTCGGGCATTCTTGAGAGATACAAGGAATCGCCTGCATTGGACTTGTCTCTACCGTCTAATCCTCAAAAATCAAAATCATGTTTTAAACAGAATTTTTCCCCGGAAAAAAAGAGAGACGTGTTCATCATAATGTGGAGGGAAAAAAAGAAGAAACTTGATTCATACCCTTCCCAGCTCTGAAAAAACTTTCTACTTCCATTGGACTTATCTCATCAGGAGCAGAGCATGAGCATCTGGACATCACAAGAAAAGAGCGTAAGGAATATTCCCATATTGTTCTTTTCTTTTCTGACAAGATAATCTCATTATACCAAATGGATATAAACCTTCCTAAGGCACATTTTACAGCTCATCGATATTGAAAATGGAGATTAATTGACAATCTTATCATCTCCCAAAAGTCGGCCAAAAGTAAATAAAATGCTAAATACCTATGTGAGTCCCAAATGTTTGCAGAACATGTCCACTTTGGAGGGAGAAGAACATCAACAGGCAACCTTCGCCATTTCGAGCAATCATCACACTGAGCCCATTGTTCCTGTTCCCTGGATAATTGCAGTAAATGCATATTCCAAGTGAAATAATGAAACTCAACTGAGAGGGTGGGGGATCCTAATTTTCTCAAACGTGCAGCACAGGAAGTCAAGAGGATCAGTAAGAACTAGTTCATTCTTCATGTCACTAGAACCACGTTGATGGCGGAAATGATAAACAACACATGAGAAAATGAAATAATTGAAGTAACAAGAAAAGAATGAAACCAAAACCACAACATCTCTCCAATATGCCTCTTCCTTCCTTACTTTTATGATTCATAACAACCAATGTCAAAGCAAGAATTTTCATTCAGTGGGTACATTCGAAAAACAACTGACATGTACAATTAGATTTCAATATTATATAATTTCGTAAATAAACTACATAATAGTAACTTGTGTTGACATCAATATACTATAAAATGAATCAAATCAGTAATCACTTTAATATTCCAAATCATAAGTAAGCCATAGGAGTTTAGGTAGAAGTAGTTTCTTCCTAAGACAATACATAAGCTACAAAAGATGGAACCCAATACATTCTTCTTCGGTTTCTCACCTAATATCAAACCACAGGGTAATCAAAACCAGATGCTAAACAAGGTACAATCATTTGCCAGATGTTTAAAAACTTGAACCATTTTTTCTTGAGGATTGTAACATATTTTCATGAAATAAGCCTGTGGTTTCTTCCAGTTATTAGGCATACATTACATAACAATTCACCAAAAATATGAAGTTCATTCCATCATAAGTGGTACTGGTACCTCATTTGCCTCATTTTTTCACTTATTTACTTTCTGCTCTTTTAATTTAGAGAAAAAGCAAAACAGGTTCAGTCCTCCTGATATCTGAAATTGACCCCTCGTCTCTTAGTTGTTACTTTTGAGACTTGAGGGGGTCAATCATGGCAAAATTGCTTTACCTTCAAAAAATTTCAACAGGCTCAAAATTATTATTCACTTTTTCACCACTTTCTAACATCTGAAACTCCCCGCGTCTCTTAGTTGTTAAGAGAGTTAAGTGTGTCAATTATGAAAAAATTGCATAACCTTCAAACAATTTCAACAGAATCCAAAACTTTGTGGAATTACAGTGGGGTTACTTGATATCGCTCAACACTACTTGGCTCCACCCATGTACATAACTTTTGTTTGTCAGTTTGCACAAGACTTGGGCATCTTGAAAAGAAAGCTTCTAAAGCATTAAAAAATGCCTCCAACATTAGAAGATTCAGTAATAAATTCCCAAATAGGACCAATTACCATGGTTCCAGTCCAGTGGATTATGTTGCTCTCCAATTAGAAATACTTTGCATAATCTTCCAAGAACCCCTTGGCTGGTCTGGATCTGGACTGGACGCAAGTCTACCAAAGACAAATTCACTCAAAAAAGTGGACTTGCTGATGTATCCAGAGGCAGGCCATTTAAAGGGTAGTTAGAACATCTTCCAACTACCCTAATTGGAGAGGACTCCAATCTATAGACCATATAATAGGATCAGAGATGACCAAATGATAAAACAACATAAAAAAATGTAATCTGAGAAAATAAATTATGAAACCATACCCGGATGCTCGGGCTCTAAATATAGTCCTCTTTCCAAAAACTGGTGGTTCCTAAATAAAACATTAAGATTCAAAACCCACAAGAGGCTAAAGTATCATTCCAGAGTATATTTTGTCTCCAAATAAAACAATAGGGGCATTGACATCTTTAAAGCAAAAGTGAACTGTTCCAAAGGCAATCTTAGCTTACATCAAACTCTTCAAATTCATGGTCCTCAATCATGACAATGGTTGGTTTGGCACTTGGGTGTGGACGCAGCAGCTCCTGTGATTCCTCCCATGTGACTCTTAGCTCCATAGCATCTTCACTATGCATGTGCAGTCTCTTGCTTTTAGACCCAATGTTTCGAGTCCTTTTCTTCCCCAGAATAGGCATGGGCCGCTCCAACAAATCCTCACTTGTTCTGCCTCCATTCTTCACATATTTTTCGAATTAAAAGGATCCCAATCAACCAAGATGAAATTTTAGACATAGGCATAATGCAAGAGTTCTAGCTTCTTTTTATCAATTGGTAAAGGCAGAGAAATCACTTACATTAGGCAAGTCTTCATTGACACCAGAAAATGGAGCTTCACCATAATGACCACCATTAGGAAGGGAAGATGTTTGGGCATCCTATTTGTTACAATAAAAAATTCATATCAGTTTGCTTCCATATCAAGGGAAAAAGAACATAAAGAATGTAGATAGGGGAAGAGAGAACAATTCAGTGAAGCTTGACCTGCATCTCAACATTTGTTGCCTTCCGAAATCCCATGACAAGTTTGCTTCCGGGATCTATTCGACTAAATGTCACTGTGAACATAAAGAACTAACTAAATTAAAAACAAAGGATCCATAATGCATTAAAAGATGTGGGGGTAGATTAACTTCAATGGAGATATTATATTACAGATATAATGATAAATTTAGCAATTTAAACAAAGATCTGAAATACGATAGATGCCATGAACATAAAGCACATGGAGTATGATTGATTGTCATTTTCAAAATCTCATGAAAAATTCATAGTGAACAATCCACAATGAAGTGAAAACACAAACATGTTGAGCTAGAGTTATGGATACAGTGCAAATAAGCAGTTTCATACACCTATTATCCATCACTAGTGTACCTAGAGAACCAGTGACCATAAGAAACAATGAGTCATCAAAACAGGAGCAAATAGGACTAGCTGCAGAAAACCATTAAAGCCAAATACTTTAAAACAAGAAATGAAATATGATAGATGACACCCAACAGAACTGCTGATACTCTGTATTTGGATCCAAATGATTGTATGTACTCGTTAACAGAGTAAACTTTTGCTACAGTGATTTCACATCCTAATTAGTTTAAAAGGACATAAAATGATGATGTAACTAATACATCTGATGCAACAATGCAAATCATAGATCACATTCAAGCACAAATGGCCTAAAGCATACCAGTGTCACCAGCTTGTAGTTGCATGTTCTGTATGCAAGGGGTGACACCCTCTAAAACGTACATCCGGCTGTTATTATTAGGCCAAAATCTGAACTGAAATGTCCAATCTTTCCCTTTAATGTCCTGAATCCTAACTGGTACACCTTCTGATTGAGAAATGGGAGGAAAATAAGCCTGCACGATTACCCATTTGCATGAATTGATCGCCGTGGAGAAAAAAGAAGGAAAAAAAAAATGAAGCAAAAACATACTTCGGCACATGCTTTGGGTAGGACCAAACGACCAATTCGACCAGCATCACTGGCGCTTAAAACCTTCTCAAACAGCGGCACAATAGTGGAATTCAAACTTGAAGATAACTAATTTAAGGTGAAAACACATTTGAATCGGTAAATAAAAAGGAAAAGGATATCAACACGCCGATATAACAACAACATGAACTAACTCCAAAAATGAAGAAAAAAGACACAATCAAGGATACTCTCCAGATAACTGCTGCAACTCTTGGTCTGTTATCCTAGGCCAGTATCTAGGGAGTAATTGATTGCGGCCCCGTCCTTCAGCAGGAGGCCTCGCAATGCGTGTCTGAGAGACCATCCGTTTATTTGCCTCTGAGCTTATATTGAGGCCAGTTTTGAGGGGCTTGGGTGATATATGTCTTGTCCTTTGCCCTTGTTGAAAGGTAGGCACTTTGTTCTGTTCAAGTCCTTCAACAACCCCACCAGGAAAAGGAGGCATTGGATTTGGAGTGCCCAAAGAAGTTCTCAAAGTGAAATTCAAGGACGGCTGAGCTGGTGACTCGTACATATCTTTAAGGCCTAGTGTTGGTCTACTGTTGCTTAAATTGGCAAATATAGATGATCCAACAGACTGTTGGGTGAGATTCGGAAAGCCTATACCAACTTCCTTTGCAGGCAGTATCTTCTCTTCATGTTTGACCAACCCATTAGATGCATTAGCATCACCCTTCTGACATTGAGGGAAGAGGCTGGGCTGATTTGCCTCCATAGTGTTGCTCAACCGCGTGAACTGCTCCATGTCAAAGCTGTTGCAATTCCTTGTATTATCAACATTAGAGGATGGCAGATTGGCTAGTGTTGTCAATGTGCCAAATCCATTAGGAACATCATCAATTGGAATCTGCATAAAAGTTACAAATAGATGAAAAAAAGTTCTGAGATGCCAAAATGTGTGATGAACAATTTTTTTTTAAAGATCTTGGGACCATTACCCTTAACTCTCCCCATATAAGGAAAAAATACCAATATAATGTTTAGAACTAGTCCTCGGTTACCTGATCCAACCTACAAGAGCCACACAACAGCCAAGCCCCAACCAAATTCTATGTTGGTAGCAACAATCAGGATAATGATCAAACAACTAGTTGAAGTTTCTAGTAGTTTTTTAAATAGACGAAAACAAATTTAGAAAATTGAAACCCTCATCTCTAAGCATGGGTTTAACATGGATGCAGATGACTAGTGACAGTGTGTGAACTACAATTAGCATTCTCAAGGTTACAGATAGGATATTACAACTTATCCACTTTATGCATTGTTAAAATTTAAACTATAGCATGTAATCAAATGCTCCTTCCATAAAAAATGTATCCTTTGTAATCTAACAATGTAGCTTATTACCTCAATTGGTCTAATTGAGCAATTTTCCACTCCTTTTGCGCAGGTTTTACAACCTACACCCCCAGAATCCATGTAGTCATACAAATCTTTTGAAGCGATGCATCCACAATGGATACGCTGCCATCAAAATTCAGATTACTAATGGACAGAAAAATTTGAGTGTTTGGACAAAATAAGGGACCATCAGTTTATTAAATTACCTTTCCACATAATTTGCATTTCCTCCAACCATCTTCCTCCAAGTGGAATGTTTCGCAGAAAACTAAATTCTCATAGGAAGATCTTAAGTCCACAAGCATCCACAACAAGCAAAGGCCAAACAGAAAATACGATCAATATGAAGAATGTAAACATATACAACAAGCAAAGGCCAATCAGAAAATATGATCAATATGAAGAATGTAAACATATACGAAAACGGAGTGCAAATTAGTTTTTATTAGTAAAACCAATTCATCTATACTACATTGTGCGTGGTTAAAAAGATATAACAAAAAAAGGAAAAAAAACTGAATCTTAAGTTTACAAGTTTGAAGGGACAATAATTGCCTTCACTTTCAATTGTGCATGCACAAATTAAACCATTTATAGTTCAATATATTTCCGATAAACCATTTATAGTTCAATTTGATTGACCAACAATCTAATCTGCGGGGGCATGAGTTGTGTATATCTAACTCCCTCTAGACTCCACAGTGGTGGGAGTCTCATCCAACTAACTGCCCTTTTTGTTAACAAGGTAATCTCTGAACGAATGGATAATAAAAGGCATAAATTGTAATTGCCATCAATTATCTGCCTAATACCAAATTTCCACAAAAAGTCATAATAATGAGTATAATTACAACTATACAAAGGGGACTGTAAAATAAGTAAAAAAAAACACACAAATGCACACATTATGGCACTAGTGGTACCAAAAAATCAATAGGAATGTGTTGGGGTCCATGTACCCTGGCAACCATTTTCAGTAACATGCAGAAGGCATGGAATATATTTGCAAACCATGAGGGGAACTGATAATTTCAAAAGAAACAAAAAAAAAAAGGAAGAAAATGACAAAGAGCTACCAGTAAAGTCGTGGCTTTAGGCAAATTATGCAATTGGGATCCTCTTTAGCGCTTCTGCCATGCCTATATACCGAACTTTTCTTTTTTCAGAGATGAAAAAAGAAAATTAAATTTATTATCCCCAGGCATTGTTAACCCATGAATGTACTTTTTTCCAAGAACTTCTACAATCCCACACCTTAACCAAAATAGAAAGGGACAAATAATAACATGACCCAAACAATCAGTAGCCAATGCTAAATCAAAAATAGTAAAACATCAAATTTTATCACAAAACATTTTTACTTGCCCCCAAAAAAACATAAAACATTTGACATAAAACAGGAAATCACAATTTTTTTGAAGAGGGGGAGGGGGTGAAGTCAAATAGAAAACCCAAAAATATGCACTAAATCAAAAGAACAAAAAACCCTCCATGAGAGAAATCAGGGATCCAAAATCTACAACCCCAAAGTGCCCTTGGACTAAAAAATCAACCCAGATGCAGCTGATACATGAAATCTTGAAGAACATAAGGCTAAAATTGGAATCAGGAAATTACCCGCAGTTGAAACACAGAGTTGCAAATCCACCTGATTTCAAGCCCCAACCTCTCTTCCATTCAGGCGACGTCGTTGCTTTGCAGTTTTCATTCATGCAAATCTTGGACCCCATTGACCCAAATCAATCCTAAACCCAATCTTCATCAAACAGTCAAATTCAAATTAAAACCCTAAAAAACCCTCTGCATAAATCTTTGACCCAACACTCATCAAGATCAAATCAAACTCAACAAAGCACAACAATGGAAGTTTTGAAGTGAACAGTTCAAAATTGAAATTACCTCACCTGCTTCAAATATCTGAAATTTTACATTCACATGTGTACACCATGAGCCTCAGAAAGAAATTCATCACTAGTTATTGCACTGCAAATAGTTCAAATCTTTGGAGTGAATCTGTGAAGATGAAGTGGGTCAACACACTGACGGTGGAGGTCTGTGACGGCGGAATTGTAACGGTGATGGTGGCGGTGGCGGTGGCGGTGGCGGTGGCGGTGGGGCTGGAGGAGTTAAGATGCTGTAGATGGGATAGGTACGGAGATGTAGAGAGAGAAAAGGGAGGAAGTGGATGAGAGAGAAAGCGTGTGTGCATGCAAAGTAAAACAGATGCACAAAATGCATGCACAATACACTTGAAGACACACAGCGAGGTCGTGGGTCGTCTCTTCCCACTAACTTACAATTACCCACTCTTTCCTGTGCGCCCTTTCGGACAGCGATGCGATGACCCGACGGTTTCGTGGATTCCCATGACTTGTATGTCAGTTTGTAAATCTAAGGTAAGTGTCTGAAAAATAAAACTTAGTGTATGGTTTGGTTGTTTCGTTGTTTTTCTGGTTTGATTTCAACCATTTGTTTGTTTGATTGACCCACTTCATCTACATTTTTCAAAAAAATACCGAAATTTACCAATGTGTGACATTTTTCATTTTTGAGTGGGACTAATTCCCTATGATTTGGAAGTTTGAAAGTACATTACAACGTAAATAAAAAATAATAATTTTTTTTTTTTAGGTAAAGAATTTAATATGAATGATTTTAAGAGCGATGTTTGTGGACGTTAGATGAATCAATTTGAGACTATCAGATAAATTTATTAAAATTTATCTTATTTTATATAATAGATTTGCTAATTAAATTTATTGATATTATCGAACTAATAGTAACTAAGGGTTTCAAAATATAACAAGACATGATCATGAGATGAAGGTATAGAATTTAAGTCTTCTTTAAACCAGCAGTTTTGTAAACAAGTAGACCCCGACACTATACAATTAATAAATAAATTGGATATGAGTAAAGTCAATCAAAAAAATATATTACACAATTTGTTTATATATCAATTATACACGATTGATATACGATACGAACTTAAAATGATACAACTTATAATATATAAATTATTAAACGAATCAGATATAAGTAAAATATTTTTTAATACGAAGTTGTTAAGAGCCAATACATCCCGCTTTACCTGATAAGATTGACAAATCTAATAGTGACCAATGAGACTGAATATTAGATGAGATTTATAGTTAATTTAACCAGATCCATGAAATTGGTCAATAATTTAACTCAAACTATTACTGAATTACTCGTCAAATTAACTATTATTGAATTACTCGTCAAATTGTTTACATAATGCCTTGTAGGGAGCAAAATAGAAAAGGAAAATAACAGATAAGTCCTATATTTGTTAAAAAAATATATATCATTGAGTCTTATCAAATTTTTGTATTAGGACAACTAGCTCTTAATTTATTTTATTTTTCAGCACAATTTTAATAGCACAATTCTATTAATATTCTACTTTTACCCATTATATTTTTGTTTATAAAAATGTCATTGTATGAATTTTTTGTTAGAATGAGAAACAAATATATAAATCTAACAACTAAATAAATATTCTCAAATAAATAACAATACGACGTGGTGTCTAGAAATTTTTGTTATAAGCTTTGATGATATAATTTTTTATCTTAAAATGATGAATTTATATACTTATGAAATTTTATTAAATAACTAGTTATTACTTGTTCATGAAAGTACAAAGTAATAAAAAATGGTAAACAATAAACATATTTGTATTTATATCCAAAATCAAATCACAAATATAGAGAAGAGATAAATGAATTTAAACATCGGTTATAATGGGGGTGAGAGGTGGTGAGGGCCGACAGTGGTGATGGTAAGAGACAGTGATGGTTGTGGTGGGTGACAATGACCACTGAACCTCCGTAATATCTAACAAGTCGAGTCTTATGTCGGTCATATAGAACACCAACACATAGAAAAAGGGCTGAAGAGTGGCGGTGGCGGTGGTTGCAGTGACAACAACATTAGTTGCAGTGGCTACAACGATGGTGGCTGTGACGACGACGATGGCTGCAATGACAGTGGTGTGGGGTGGGGGTGGGGGTGGGGGGGGGGTGGTAGAAGTAATGGTGAAACGGTTTCAAACACTATTTTTTTTTAAAGTATTTATGAGAAATAATTTATAAAAATACTTTTAAAAAGTCACTTAAAACACAATTTTAGAGGTCCTAATTTTGTTATTAAATTTAAGGTGTTAATATTAACCGTTAAATTAACTTTAAAATAAAATTTAAAACGATTTGAATTGTGAAAACTAAAAGTCATTTTATTTGTCTTTTAAAATTTGAATTGTAAACTATTTTATTATATAGATATACATGTAGTGACAATATTTCTATTTTCTAATTTTGTTTTTTAGAAAAATTATAATTATTTAAAAGCTTATTAGTGTAAAGGGTTGTTCAATTCCATGAGATTGATTAAAATTGAAATAAAGCATTTGATTGATGGAGTAGAAAAAAACCTACATGACATGTCTAAATTTGTAAATTCAATTTATTTCAATTTAGTTCATGTCATGTAGGTTAATTCCTCCTCAAAATGATTAATTTTTTAGACATGCATGTCCATGACTCAGGGAAAAAAAAGTCAATTATAGATATATTATATTTATTTGTGAAAATGACATCGGTGCCCTTGGTGTGGACACATCACAGGTAGCACTGTGACATTGGTTGCATGCATGGACTTAGGTCTTAGCTGATGAAAACTTGGGCATTTGCAATTATAAAAAGAGAATTTGCCGGCCGTTGGTTTCACCCCCCAATTGGTGGCTTTGACTGGAACTTAGTGCAAAAACAATGACCATAAAGTCACCTGAGTCGGCAATTGAAGGAATCAAGCAGATTACCGACAGAAAAATAGAAAGAAAAATAAAATTCACCAGACATATATATATATATATATATTGGTCATTAAATTGTTGATAATAATACATAAAATAGTCTCGCGCAAGATCAATAGTCGAGGGTGCAATTAATGACAATAATATAAATATCAGGTTAACACATAGATATATAGTGGTTTGATCTGCGTGACTTACTCTACTCTGGAAAACGACAACGATGACGGAGAATCTTTATTAATTAAGTAAGGTGAACAAGAGAGCAATTGTTAGCCCCGAGGGGATACAATAACTAAGAGAGATAAAAGTTATGTGTGAAATGTGTAAAGAGATGTAGAAGTGAAACTCAATGTGTCATTTCAGATAGAGAAAACTTATAATTTATAGGTACAGAGACTTGGTTAAGGTGGTGACGTGAGGATAAATGTACTAATTCTCTATGTGACTACAAAAGGTAAGTGTCATAAAAAATTGTTTTTATTTTCGAGAGTACATATCCCAATAATTGCTCTTCATATGCTTTAATTATTCTTGGACATTTTGAATCTTGGACTGGGTCAAATTCTCGAGCTAGGCTTGACCGATTCTTTTAACTAATCTGGGTTCATCTAATTTATTGAGCTCAAAAATTTAGGAATTGTAAAGCTAAATTCTTTTAGATTTGATAAATAAATTTAATTGAAATACAACCTAAAACTTGGAAAATTGATACTTGGTAGTTTCAATTAATAATTTAGGGGCTGCTAAAAAAAATATCCTGGGACTAGATAGAAAGGAGAAATAAATGGGAAGATATATGATGTAATTTCTTCTAATTGTAACTAACGAAATATATCGGGTATAACTCTTATCTCATGTGAGTAGTGTCACGTAGTGTAATTGTTCACTAATAAATAAATAAATTTGTAAGTGAACTTTATCAAATTCATAATCACCCAACCATATAATTCCTATTAACTCTATTAAAAATAGAGTTTCATTTTATCTTTTTTATAATTTATTTATTAAATAATTATATCACACTGAGATGCAGCCGTTATCTCCAATATTTACTTGTAAGGAAGGAGTACGGGTATACTTTCCCTAATTTGCCCAGCAGTGAAACCCTTGTTCGCGCTTCTGCGTATTTGAAAATCGATATCCCCCCCCCCCCCCCCCTCCCAAACATAAACCCAATGCTCAAAACATAGAACTCCTTTTCTCTCTCCTCTGATATCGAAAAACTCCAAAATTTGCTTCGATTATCGATTCATCGGACTAGGGGCACAATTTTGTTTGCTTGTTCAAACAGCCAATTTTTTTACAGGTAGTTTTGTTTAATGAAGAGCACTTTGTCTTACAATTTTTCCGTTTTGTATATAATTGTTTTTTGGGATTTGTTTGCTGATGTAAGGTGTTAATTCCTAATCTGTCCGATTAAATTCATACAAGTCCGATTTGTTTGCGATTATTGCTCTTCAACTTTGTTTTTCATTTTCTTGCTAGCATTTTGGTGTATACATTGAGGTCAAGTTTGTATGTAACGTTGAGATTATATGGTTGAATATATTGTTTTATCAATTGCCTGGAATATGCACTTCAGAATTCAGATGTAGTCTTGTGCCATCTTCATGTTAACTAGTTGCACATGGTGGTGAATGGCCAGTTGCCTATGTCTTACTTGTTTCAAGCTTGATTCCAAGTCTCTTGTTGCCAATACTGTATGTGTGCTGCGTGTGTTTGTTATACGTTTTTGGTTGTTATACATAATTGAACATATGGATGGATATCCCTTGCGGCCAACATTTTTATTTTCTGTAAAATTTGTGGCACTGGTAACAGCTGAGACAGTGGGGGTTGTTTATATGTGTCTACATGACTAAGTCTGTTGCAAATTCTTCTTCGCCTCTATCATGGGCTAGGGTGATTTTCACAATTGTTTTTCTGATACCGTCAACACTGTGCCACTGACACCAACACAAAGATTCCTTTCGGGTTACAATGACAACATCTTGAATTGGTTTTGATCAACATGGGTGTTATACTTGACCTAATCATGGGGAACTTTTATGTCTTCAAATTTTTCATTACATACTATTTTTCTCAAAACATCATGTTCTTTGTTGTTTGTTGTTAGTGTTCAAATCTAGGAAGCTTTGATTCCTACTTACTTACATAATCTGTTAATTTATAAAACTGAATGGAGTGGAATCCTTTCATTTACTAAAGGTTTCCTTATTTTAAAGAATTTTGTACCCAGTTGCAGTAAGTTTGAGGAGTGGTGTAGAATTG